GCCGAGCCTATGGATCTAACTAGTCACAGTGCTGAAACAAGAGGATCAAGACTCGGCAAGACTGTTTAAAAAAGAAAGAAAGAAAGAAAGAAAGAAAGAAAGAAAGAAAGAAAGAAAGAAAAAGAAAGAAAGAAAGAAAGAAAGAAAGAAAGAAAGAAAGAAAGAAAGGAAGGAAGGAAGAGAAAAAAAAAGATTGGGTCAACAAGTGCCACAGAAGTTAAGGCGACTGGATCCCAGGTGGCCAACTGTGTGGTTTTAGTCCTGGACTCAGCAGCTTGAAAATCATGCCAGGCACATGTGTGTATGCCCAAAATCCCAAGAGGAGAATAGAAAAGAAGAATGTGGTACAGTCATTCCCCTGGGTGGGGAGGAGGAGTGATTTCTTACTTTTTCTCTTTCTCTAACAAGTCCAGACACCCTATAGCAAAAGTTTTAAAAAAAAAAGAAAGAAACAAAAGAAAAAAGAAATCATAAGCTATACAAACCTACTGGAGTCCTTTCTCTATGGCAAACAAACAAACAAAAGAAAAAAGAAATCATAAGCTTTACAAACCTACTGGAGTCCTCTCTCTATGAAGTCATACAGAAGTCACTAGGCTCCTCCTGCACCAAACTATGACAACACACATACGATATTTCTACCAGGGAAGCTCATTAGAGAAGCCCAGGGTTTTTAATGGAAACTGGTCGTGTATGCCCTCTACCTAGCACGTGTTAAGATTCTAGACTTGCAGGGCCAGCAGATGGCATAGTGGCTACATCGCTGGACTCCCACATGGCCAACCACAGTTTAAGTCCCAAACCTGGCAGCTTGAAACTCACACTGTGCATGAGTGCTCAAAATTCCAAGATGCGCATGAGTGCTCAAAATTCCAAGAGGAGAATGGAGTAGAAGGGATTGCGGCATGGCCATCCCCTTCAAGGAAAAGGGGTGATTTCTTGCTTTCTGTCTCTCTGGTGAGTGCATGTGCCCTATCACAAACATCTATCTCAAAAAATAATAATTAAAAATAAAAAGATTTAAGACTCCTGGGTGCAGCAGGTGGCATGGTGATTAAGGTACTAGACTTCCACATGGCCAATTGTGTTGTAAGTCCCAGACCCAGTGGCTTGAAAATCATGCTGGGCCCATGTGTGTACGTACCCAAAGTCCAAAGAGGAAAATGGAGAAGGGATTGGGCTTGACCACCCCCCTGGGGGGGGGCGATTTTTCACTTTCCCTTTCACTGCCTCTCTGGTGAGTGCCCTATGGAAAAAACCTAAAAAAAAAATTTTGAAAAAAGATTCCAGGGACCAGCAGGTGGTGTAGTGTCTAGAGTGCTGGACTCATATGACTGGCTGTGGTTCTGGTCCCGAACTCGGTGGTTTACTTTCTCATTTTCCCTTGCTCTTTCTCTGTGTGTGTGTCTCTCTCTGGTTAAATTTAAAAATAATAACAACTAAAGTTAAATAAATAACTCTTTTTTAAAAATTCCAGATTCCCAGAAGATGTTCAACATACGCCATACTGTTTGCACTAAGTTAAGGCATAATGAGCCATCCATATCATTTACTGGTATGTCATCTCATTGCAGAGAACTGTTTACAAATCAAGTTCACAAATGCCAACCTTGTGAGCAGGCCTCTCTAAAAACAGCAGTCAGGTCTACACACACAGAGCCATACAACTCACTGGGGTGTACCAAATGTTTCAGAACCCACACTGTCCTCTAGCTGTCAAAGGCATTTTCACAAACCTCACCTGGAGACCGTATCGGTATTTTTTTTTTTTAAGATTTTTGCCATAGGGTGCACATACTTACCAGTGAGACAGAAAGAGACAGTGAGAGGGAAATCATCCCCTGGGGGATGATCCTACTGCAATCCCTTCTCCTCCATTCTCCTCCCAAGATTTTGGGCATGACACACAGGAACCTGGTGTGAGTTTCAGGCCTCCAGGTCTAGGACTTGAACCACAGCCAGCCATGTGGGAGTCCAGGGCCTTAATCACCACCCCACCTGCTGGTCCAGAGACCTCATTTTTCCCTATGGTCCAAAGGTGCTTGTCTGAGGGAGAAAGGGAGTACATGTGAGATGTGGAGGGCTGATAAGAGGAAGCGACAAGTTTCTCAGTGAGCATGGCTGAAAATTAGCCCAGACCTCAGCACTCGCATTTTTTCCCTTATGTACATGGGATTTGAGTTCTGAGAATGTAACCCTTAAAACAGAAAAGAGGTGGTGGGGGGGAATGGGCAAGAAAAGAGTGAGACCCTTTGAGAGGATGAAGCAGAATCTGGACAGCAAACTGCTTCTAGATACTTGTAGATATGCTCCACATATCTTGTGGAAGCGCCATTCCTGAAATACATAAGGTGGCGATGTGCAGTAGGCCTGCAGAGACTGGAGCGGGTGAAGGACCAAGGGCGACAGGGCTTCAAGTGTTCCTCTTCAAATGAGGTCACATGCACCATTACAGATACAGTACACCAGCGGTGGACATTCTCATTACTCCCTGTATTTTGTGAATACCGTATTTGTTCAAATGCATTAAGAATTACTTGAGCTTCCATCTTCCCTGTTCTGTATTTTTTTTTAAAAAAAAATCTTTTTAGGGCTGATTCAGTGACCTGGTGGTTAAGTGTGAGAAACATGCTTACCCATCCAAGCTAAAAATGGACACGGAGACACAGGGAAGCAAAACTTTAATGGCGGCCTTGCAAGATCGGTGTCTGATGGGCAGGCACACGCAAATTGACATCAGCTAAGTACTAAGGGTGTACAATCTTCCTGGACACCACCTAAGTTCTATTATTCCTTCTATTAAGAAGCAGGCTCAGGACAAGCCTGTGAAAAAGACCCACCAAATGTCCTGAGGAGGGAGAAGAACCAGGAAATGAAAGGAGCTAAAGGCTGGTGACCACCCACCATCTTGAGACATCACTTCTCAAGGGTGACTTGTTTCAGGGTTGTGGAATCCGTACTTTCTGGGGTTGTCACATATGCAAGCTGGTTAAGCAACTTTTGTTAAGCTATTGTTGAAGATGAATCACTTAAGGCTATTTTTTTTTAACATTAAGGCAGCCACATCCCACATGGCTGACCACACAGTTGAGTCCCAGACTCTGCAGCTTGAGAAACACAACAGCATGTGTGCACATGTGCCCAAAATCTTGAAAAGAGGATGTTTTTCTCCTCTCACTCTGTGTCCCTCTGGTGAGCACACGTGCCCTCCATCTAGTGAAACAATTTTTTGAAGAAAAATAAAATCTTTAGGGCACACATAATTTTTTTAATAATTATTTATTTAATTTTTATTTATTCATTCATTTATTTTAATCTGACCAGAGATACACACAGAGAGAGAGGGAAAATGAGAAAGCAAGCCACCAGGTCCAGTACTCAAGACTCGGTCGACCATGTGGGAGTGTCCAGCACCTTAACCACCACGCCACCTGCTGGTCCCCAGGGCACACATCTTCAAGCCAGAGCTCCAACAAATAGAATGGAGGTTAAAGTGGCTAGTTCTCACATGGCCAACTTCGTGGTTGAAGTCTTAGACCAAGCAGCTTGAAAATCACTCCAGGCACAGGTGTGTACATGCCCAAAATCCTGAGAGGAGAATGGAGAAGGGGATCGTGGTGTGGCTATCCACTCTGGGGAGTGATTTCTCATTTTCTCTCTCTCTGTCTTGCAAGCACAGGTACCTATAGCAAACTAAAAACAAACAAACAACAAAAACAAAAACACTTTTTAATATGCTGGAGGCCCTGGTGCCAAGAGGTGGCCCAGTGCTAGCTCATCAGGCAAACCCTGGAAAATCTTCACTTAGAGTACCCAGCCCTCTGCACCCAAGTAATTATGACCTGGGCTGGCTAAGGCTGGGGTGGATGGTACTGAGAAGACCCTATTGGGGATGCCTCTCTTACATGGAAGAAAAAGTGTGCAGGAGCTTGAGCATTATGCTGGAAGTCTTAGAAAATGGCAATGGTCCAGATTTCTCTTAAGCTCTTACGGATCCAGAAAAAAGTATATTTTCAATTCATCAGCACTTAGGCATTGACTGAAGCCAAGGAAATAAAGGGGTGGCCTAAGAGAGCTCTTCTCTAGGAAGAGGGTTCTGGAACCAGAACATTTAAGGAGTTCGCTGAAGAAGAGGCTCCTACATAGGAGGCTAACCGGGAATGGCCAGAGCTGAGAGAAAAATCGAGTGGCATGAAATCGGGAGAAGATGGCCAAAAAGAAGGAAGGAAAACAAAGCCGAGAGAGTACATTGCAGAGGGAGGGGGTGAAATCAATCAACGGTGTCTATTGCTTTCCTCTGTCGGCACCACCCCGACTGTCAACTCCCCCAGCACGGTTCATTAAGTCTCTGACTTTTACAGCGTTCTGTACAGTAGGTTATAAATTATTTCCTCCAACTAGACAGCTCATTAGAATCTTACTCATTTTTCCCTTTCATAGAGCATTTCTCCCACCGCCCGGTTAAAATCAGTGGAATGATTTGAGGAATATCTGAAAAACCCTAAGTTTTAACTTGCTCCAAAAGCCAAACTACCCCAAGGCACAACCATACTGCGCACGCGCACAGACAAACCTCCAGCCCCGAGCCCCCGGCTTTCTCCAGGTCTTTTGCTTTGGCGCGAAATTCCCGCTCAGTGGGCGGAGCTCCTGGAAAAGCCGCCGCTCATTGGGCCGGTTTGGCGCGAAATCCTGAGCTTCTGTGCCACGATTGGCTCTGTCAGTTCGGGCCCGGCAAGGGAGGCAGGCGGAAGCGGCAGCGGCGCGCGCATATCGGCGGCGCGGGGGGAAAAAGCGACTCGTGGAGGACTGGTTTGGTGGCGGTGACGCCGGCGCCGAGCCGCGATGGACCTTGCAGCGGCAGGGGGGGCAGGGCCC